TTAAATACACTAATAATGACCTATCAGAAATTCAGAGAATAATCTCATTCACAATTTCATTAAAAAGAATAAAGTATCTAGGAATAAATTTAACCAAGAAAGTAAAAGATCTATATGTTGAGAACTATAAGACATTGATGAAAGAAATTAAAAAAGACAAAAGATATTCCATGCTTATGGACTAGAAGAGTTAATATTGTTAAAATGTCCATACTATTCAAAGGAATATACAGATTTAATTCAATCCCTATCAAAATTCCAAAGGGAGAAGGTGTTTTTCACAGAAATAGAACAGATAATCCTAAATTTTGCAGAAGCACAAAAGACCCCACATAGCCAAAGCAATCTTGATAAAGAACAAAGCTGGATGCATCACAATCTCTGATTTCAAAATATATTATGGAGCTATGGTAATTAAAACAGTATTGTATTGACATAAAAACAGACACATAAGTCAACAGAACACACTCGGGAACTCAGAAATAAATCCATACATATCTGGTCATTAATTGATGACAAAGGAGCCTTGAATATACAGATGGGGAAAAGACAGTCTCTTTAATAAATGGTGTTGGGAAAATTGGACATCCATAAACAAAACAATAAAACTTGACCACTTATCATACACCATACACAAAAAATAAACTCAAAATAGATTAGAGACTTGAACATAAGCCCTGAAACCATGAAACTCCTAGAAGAAAACTTGGGCAGTAAACTCCTTGATGTAGGTCTTGGTGATGATTTTTGAATCTGATACCAGAAGCATGAGTTGGGAGATCAGTCTTGAAAGTTTCAGTGCAGCAAAGGATTACATCACCAAAATGAAAAGACAACCTACTGAATGGGAGAAAGCAATTGCAAATCATGTATTTGATAAGAGACTAATCAAAATATACAAAGAATTTGTACAATTCAATAGCTTAAAAAAATAAAATCCAATGAAGAAATGGGCAGAAGACCTTTTTCTATTTTTTTTTTTTTCTTTTAGAGTTTATTTTTAAAGTAACCTCTATACCCAACAGGGAGCTAAAACTTAGACTCCTGAGACAAGGGTCACATATTCTACCAACTGAGCCAGCCAGGTGCCCCTGAATAGACCTTTTCAAAAGAAGACACATGCATGGCCAACAGGTACATGAAAAGATGTTGAATGTCAATAATCAGTGAAATGCAAATCAAAACTGTATTATACGTTTTCATACTGCATCATTCTTTTCAAAAATGTCTTCACAAGATAACACCTTAGTGAACGTATTGGTTTAGAGGAGCAGTAATGTGGAGAATAAAATCTTCCCCTTTCATCACACTGCTCTTTGAGCCACAAAAATGCTGAGTTTACATATCAAAGAATCTGTGACAGAAGGTAGTTTCATTCATTCATATACATATACAGATCATATTGTTGAATACCTTTTTTTAGTGGTACAGACCTTGTCAAATGTTAAAGGACATTTGGTTTATCCAGATTACTAACTTCTTGCCATTAACATCCTATTGAGTCCTTATTATGTGTCAGGTTGTGACTTTAAAAAAAAAAGATTTATTAGGCAAGTTGGGGGCAGAGGGGGAGAAGGACAGAATCTCAAGCAGATGCCCTTCTCCCCAGCGAGGAGTCCCACAGTGGGTTGGAGGGGGGAGGGTTGAATATCACCATCCTGAGATCATGACCTGAGCCAAAATCAAGAGTGGAACCCTTAACTGACTGAGCCACCCAAGCACCCCCCCAGGCTATGAATTTCTTACGTTGATGTTCCATCCATGTTGAATGAATGAATGGGCAATAGTTTTCCTTCCTACATTTTGATGCATGCCTGTTCCTCTTTAAAATTCTCTTTCAATTCCTATCTTGATTGTCTCAGCACAGCCTGATCATTGCAGTAATTAAAATTTAGTTTCCCTCTATAGGATAGGGAAACCCCAAATAATAGTGATGTAAAACGGAAGTTTAGTTTTCTTCACATGAAAGAAGTCTGTAAGCAGGCAATCAAGTATATGTGGAATGGAAGGTTTGCTTCATGGAGTCCTGGGGTACCCGGCTCCTTCTGGCTATTGCTCTTGTTTCGATGGTTCTGGATGGCTGCTAAAATTTTATTGAGCAACTCCTCAATCCTTGATCCAGAGGATGGCAGGATGGCAGGAAGGAGCAAGATAAGGAGAGGATGGAGCCCCTTCCATTTTAAGGAGACTCCCTAAAAGTAACTTTTAAAGGTCTGATATATGTCTCCTTGGCCAGACTTAATCTTAAAACTACATTTTGCTACAAAGGAGTCTGGGGGATATAGTTTTTCACCTGGAGAATAATGTGCCTAGTAAAACAAAAAACAGAAAGCAAAACAAAGTAAAAACCAAAAATGAAGCAAAATGACCCCCCCCATCCCCCCAGGATTCTGTTGTTAAAGAAGAAAAGGTATCCTGTGGCAGTTACTGGTCTCTGCCACAGTCACTCATTCACAGTGATGCTGTCTAAAGGAGCATCCTGGATTCCCTTTATCTCTCAAGTGATTTTGCCAATTCTCAAGCCTCCTGTCATCACTGTCTTGTTTATGCCTACTCCTGCTTGCCCTTTCCAGAAGAGGTGGGAAAGTCCTGAATCAGAGATGGACCTGATGTCATCTAATTGCTAGTGAACTCCAGATGAATCTGTAGTTTTAAAATTATGGACTGTCACCTTCTGTAATCCACTTCTTACAGTGATTGTCTTGAAATGGTTCACATTGTACTCTAATTTCGTACTCTCACTTTGGTTTTGATTTTACAAATAAATCAACCTACTCCGCCTCTGCCTCGGTTCTCCGTGTCTCTCCATGTCTTCATGTACCTCGATCTTAGTAGGTGCTGGTTTTCATCCCCGGGATGTAAGTCTGAGAAGGGCTGCAAGCTCAGTGGTGCCCAAACAGGAGTGTTTTATGCTCTATAAATGCCTGCTAAACGAATGAATGAACCAGCTTCTCTCCCTTTTCTCTTCGGAGTAGAAGATTGTTTCTATATTTAAAGAATCTTCTCTCGACTTTGCTGCCATTTCCTCTTCGTTTCTTATAGCTGACTTTTTATTTTTTAAGAAGAGGCACCTCTCCTCCTGGTTTACTAACGCCTTGTTCTCTTCCCTGAGTTGAGGCTCCCTCTGTGACTTTTCAGATTTTGCTTTGAGATTTCCCGCTCCTCATTGGCCTTTTCTGGTTGTTTAGTCTCTGTGACATCTCTAAGAGCACGCTGTGTTATTGATGGCGCATTCTGGGAAATACGGTCTTTGTTCTTTTACCTTTCTGGCTTTTCCTTCTGCATTTCCTTTGTTGATGTGCTTCAGCTCTGTAGTGATGACTGGGGAGCCAAACAGTACCATGTTGCTTTCCTCCTCTGTTCTTTTGTCTCTGCACTTTGCAGTATCTCAGGTGCTAGGCTGCTCTTTGACCTTGGCATGGTTACGAAATAGACACAAATTGCTTTTAGTTCTCATTGCTGCATCCCTTTTAAATACTTCCTGGGAGCCTCAAACTCCTCTATTTAAGCAGTACATCTGAAATCTGGGATGCTGGTCCTTGCCTTGGGTTCCTGTCAATAGGGCATTGCTTCTGAAACTGCGTGGTGGTTACCTTAATGGTAACGGATAGCAGTTTCCTCTGTGGTGTTTTCCTTGTCTGGAATGCCCCTTCCTTTATTCTTTCCAACTTCTCCTTCTCCTTCTTCTTCTTCTTTTTTTTTTTTTTTTAATTTTCCTATAAAGATCAAGTTCAGGGATCTGCATTTCACAAAGATTTTTAGGGTGACACCAGACCTTATTGACTTTCTGGGCTTTGAATTCCTGCCATAATCATCTGTGTATTACCTGGTCCTCTTCAGATGCTTGTGTCGTATTGTATTGTAGAATAAATCCTCTTTATTACAAATGTTTTACCTCACAGATACTCTGTAATCTTATTCCTCTTTGTACTCTTAGTGACTGGTTTATAATCAGCCCTTAAGAATGCGTGCTGTGGATGATGGCATCCCCTTTTCATTTCCTTATCTTGTTCCATTTCTAACACTGAGATTGCTTAAAAAATTAATTTTTTCTTATCACCAAACAAACATCTCTCTTCCATAAATGAAATGGAATGCTTGGACTGAGCTGAATGACAGGTTTTCAACAGCCTGATCGCATTTTACATTGCACTATTTTTAGTACATTATAAAGGGCTTGGAATGACTGTTGGAGAAGTAACTTTTCTGTCTTTTGAGTGTCTCCATCTCTTGAGTGTCATCTAAAAACTTGGAGTAAAAGAGTCATGAAAAGAGCTAGTGGGATTCTGTGCATACACAAAGTTTTGTATGGGGCAACGGGGAGAGAGAGACTGGGTAGGAGAGAGAAAATGAATAAATGAGTGTGAAAACATGTGCCCTCCCGGCCCCACTACTTGGTTAATAATGTCAGGATGATGTTGGACTAGCAGGATAGAAGACTAGTTGTGTTGAAGGGATGGATGTCCCATAATGATGAGAATTCATTTTAAGACCATTTTTGCTTCTTATCCCCTACAAAAAGAAGCTTACCCAATTGTTTTTATGATAATTTTTTTATTACAAACCACTTTATTATTTTTAAAAGATTTTTATTTATTCATTTGACAGCGAGAGGGGAACACAAGCAGGGGCAGTGGGAGAGGGAGAAGCAGGCTTCCCACTGATCAGAGAGCCCCACGCGGCGCTCAATCCCAGGACCCTAGGATCATGACCTGAGCCGAAGGCAGATGCTTAACGAATGAGTCACCCAGGCGCCCCGATAAATTGTTTTTATAATCAATTCTGTAGCAATATGGTAATGTTGGATAGACATATTGGATAAAGTCAATCTGGTTAAACTATGGTGTCTTTTAAAATTAAAGTATGAGAAATTAGCTGTGGTTGAAATTTAGCTCTGTGGAGATTGAAGATCTGGATTAGTAGAGTGTGATTCCAGACTCAAAATGAGGGGAACAGAGGACTCTGTTCGCCTACTTATTTAACTTCTTTTATTTCCGTAGGGAAGTTGAAATACTGCCTTGTGGTTCTGAATCAACCTCTGGACAAATGTTTTCGTCATCTTTGGAGCAAAGGTAATCTTAATTAGCATTTATATCTCTACTTTCTAATCTGTTTAGGACTAATATGACTATTAAATATTCTAGAATCTAACTACAATACCAAAAATTGGAACTTATAACTAAGTGATATAATTACTAAGAATGGATCTTTTCTGTTAGTAGTGTCTATGGGGAGTTTCCACAGGATGCACCCCCAAGAACAGAATGACAATGTAGCATCACCACGCTATATTTCACATATTATGTGGATGTTAATCCTGAATGCTCACCAAATGTTTGTTAAGTGTAAATAGTTTTGGCACCAGCAACGGTAAAAAGCATCCTCAAGCCTAACTCATCCCAGCATTCAGCAATAAGATATCTGCTGGGTAACCACATTTGCAGGAGGAAAAAAAAAAGAAAGAAAAGAAAAAAGGCTAATAGTGTATTAGGATCTCAAGGGATGCTGAAAAATATAAACGTGCAGGAGTTTTGCAGAATTAATACTTCTGTGAGTTTTCCTATAAGAAACAGACTTTATTAACTATTTTTTACATTATACTTTGATTTTTTATAGCATTAACTCTAGGTGAGAAAATAGTATTAAATATCATTTATTGTTTTGAACCTCTGCTTTTCCATGAAATCTTGAGCTTTTTTCAAAGGGATACTTCTGCTAAGGTTAGCAATGTAAATTTTGAGCCAAACTAGATCGGCAGAAGAATATGATTCTTGATTTATCGATGTGTATTCTAGATGATTCTCCTATTGCAGAATTCTTTTGTATCTTCAGCATCAAGGCTGTGTGTCCTAGAATCCACACCTGTCATGTCAGTAAGCTCACATATGTGGACGGGGGTAGTTGTGATAGGGAGAGGGAATAGATCATTATGAATGATTTTGTATAATGAATTTTTCTTGTCTTATGTGATTACCATGAAAACGCTTTATTCTAAATTTAGCTATCTTTATGTTAGCCAGCTGAAAATGTCACATTATTATTGCACTAAAAGTTGGAAGGCTATTTAACCAGTAACTTCACTTTCCTAGAACCTCTCACTTGCTTATAATTAGGTGGTTATTCAGGTGCCATCAGAAAGGTCTTTATGTTGTCATGTCAGTGCCTAGTGCTGTGTCTGGCACATAATTGCTTAGTAATTACAACCAGTGAAAGAATGAATTTAATTTGGTTCATATTGCTAATAAATACCAAAGTAAACTGATCAAGCACATTCTTTTGATCTGAACTCACCAGGTTTTCTTGTATTTTTAGGAAAGTGTGAACAGTTGTGTTTTATTTTACACTTCCTTAAAATAGACAAAATAATCATTAATAGGAACTGCTGGAAACTTGGGTAGGGAAAACTACATCTAGGAAGTCTCATTTTGGAGGGTGAAGGATCCTGTTTTGTTCGTGGTGTGAAATGGTCTAGATTTTTGAGCTGACCGATGCTTCTGATGACATTAGTTTCCTGCAGTGAATTGGATTAGAAAAAGTTTCATGCCTGACATATACCAACTATTTAGTTGATTTGCATGAAAAATGAACGCTGGGTCAGTCTGTATACATGGAGAGAACTAAAGATATCTAATGTGACATGGACTACAGTGGTTAGATAATGCTCATTTCCAAAATAACTTTTCTTTAGATTATTGAAATATACTTTCCTATATATGTCCAGGATGATTCTTGGCTCTCTGGAGCAATTAACCTTTACAAAAAGTGGGTCTGTTCATAAGTACTGAGGAAAGGTAGAATAGGGTTATTTGTGATTCTCACAACAGAAGCCGTGATTTTTTTGTTTGTAGTGTCCTATTTTGTGTTGCTCTTCTTCCAAATAAAACTTAAAAAAGAAAAAAAAAAAGGTATTGGGTGCGTGAGTGGCTCACTCGGTTGAGTACCCAACTGTTGGCTTTGACTCGGGCCATGATCTCAGGGTTGTGAGATTGAGCCCGGCATGGGGCTCCTCACTCAGAGGGAGTCTGCTTGAGATTCTCTCTCTGTCTCCCTCTGGCCCTCCCCTCGTGTGTATGCATGCACACTGTCCCTCTAAAATAAATCTTTTAAAGAAACTGGGTACTGAGGAGGGCACTTGTTATGATGAGCCCTGGGTGTTGTATGAATCACTGAATTCTACTCCTGAAACTAATATAGTACTGTATGTTAACTAACTGGAATTTAAATAAAAATTTGAAAAGAGAAAACAAAAACAAATGCCAAACAAATAAAAGTAAAAAAAGAAAAACAAGGAGACTTGGAGCTTGAGCTGCTGATGTTAACAGAAGAGAGAGGCCTAGAAAAAATAGAGGGCAGCCTTGAGGGCCTGGGACGGAAGGCAGTGTGGCAGTTTGAGATTTCAGCACTTATAAAGGCTGGGAGCAGGCTTGCCCGCTACTTTGGCTTGTATGCGTGACTTTTTCTGTAACTTTCTGTAGCAAGTCTGAGAATTTGTGAAGAACAGAAATCAAGGGGTAAAATCCAGACTATTGTATCAAAACAAAGACAAAATTTAGAGGCTGCTGCACAGTGTCCGTCTTTTATATAAAATCAATAATTTAACTTTCATCTATGCTAAGGACTTCTGGCAAGTAGGGATTTCTTGAGATTCCTTTAAGGGGAAAGACTGTTTTGTAGGTTTATTTATTTTGCCCTGCAACGTTTTTATGACATGTAATTTATTTTAAATGACTGAAGAAGGGATTCAAGGAGATTAAACGTAGAAATGTTTTTAAATGTATTTTCTCTTTAATACTTCATGAAGCTTCAGTGTTTTTCTTGGTTATAGGTCTTGGTCATTTTAATCCCTACCTGTCCCAGCAGTTTGTATACTTGACTTAATCTGGAGCTATAAGTACAGAGATAGGTGGATAGATGAAAAGGCAGATAGAACTGTAGGTAGTATCTAACTTTTCTGTAATTATCAGAGGTTATTGGCATTTGTGAATGGATATTGCCCTCAGATTTCTTAACTTTTTCTTTTTTTTTGAGTCAGACTTTCTCTTCCAATAAATGTGTTTCTCATCCTGAGATATCTGGTAAGTGAAGAAAAATAGGGAAGTCTGTGTTTGAAGGATTCTGCTTATTTCTTTTGTAGATCAGTTATTCTCCACTTGGGGGCACCATACTTGTCAGGGTCTCTAAAGGTAGTAAGAGAGATCGGAGTTACATTAAAAAGAAATCTGATATTCACTTACCTGGGATGAGGTTTTAGATGGACCATATATCAGATTCCTAGGAGTTTGCCTTATTAAAATGTATCTTCATTTTTAATGTGAGTTCACAGCTTTTCTCTGTCTTTTCCATTTGAGCCATAGAACATGGTGACCAGGTGAATTAGATTATGAGGAATCCGATTACAGTGATGCCAGGTACTTATGCACACAGTGACTCTCTTCCTCTAAGAGGAGTTAGTTTTCTTCACTTGCTCGCTCTTTCTTTCTTTCTTTCTTTCTTTCTCAGTTCTCAGCTAACAAACCTTCAGATCATGCCAGGGTATAGGCACTATACTTGGGTTCATTGCTGATGAGACTTCAAGTTATAAAATTGGGCGGGTCTTTGAGGTTAAAAGGACACCCATAGAGCATACCTGAATCAAAATAGAAACAAGGCCTTTGATTTTATGACATCAGTGTTTTCCCTTCTGTTTCATTTGTAACTGATGCTTGCTGAGGCCATTCCAGGTCAGCCGTTGGGTCCAAAGCTGGGAATCTAATGGCGGGTTCTTAGTTGTGGCTGCAGGTGAGAGAAGGGAGCACAGACACAGGTGCTTCCTCAAGAAGGCAGGTCAGAGGCTCTCGGAGCCACAAGTCCTTAGAATGAACTTGCTCATCCTTGTTTCTTAAGTAGCTGAAATTATCATATATTTGATTGACTTTGACTATACTTTGGTCATGTCTGTATGCCTTTTGGTTTCTTTTTTAAATAAAAACACCTTCCAAAAATCAGTTTTCAATAGAATCCTGACTTGCTCTACTAATTAACTGATCTTATGCTAGTAAGTAGTATTGCCATCAGATTTAAGTTTTAAATGATGTAGGAATCTGCTGTGAGGCACCTTGCTTTGGTAGTAGTTTTGTTGTATCTTTCCTTTATAAATTGTGTACTCTAGGACTCAATAAGCTTCTTTATACCTATTTATTTGAGGTTAAGCTCAGCCAAAATAGCAAATTTATATAAGATTCCTTTTCTTTTCTTTTTTTCCTAGCCCCATTTTTCTATTCAGTGGGACCTCTACCTCATTTCTGGTATCCAGTGTGATTATTCTCCTTAAAATAAGAGAAGTTGAATACATGCCATTTTTAGGTAGATTGGTTGAATTGATTGGTTTGCTTTAATATAACTTGGTATCCATCACTGTTTTAATCTTATTAAATCTATTTGTATACTTTATCCCTGTTAGAGGGATTTCCAGGGAAACATATTTTCTGATAATTACCTTACAATTTTGAAATCACCTTAATTCTATTCTGACAGCTGATTCTGGAAGGGCTTCTGGTCCATCTTTTTTAAAGAAAGAGTGTGGTTCTACATACACTACATTTTTTTTCTCTCTCTCTCTCAGGCCTCCTCTGTCACAGCTATTTTTTCTTACGTGTTTAATGATTGATATGATAAAAAATGACATTTGTTATTTTCTTTCTTTTTGCATAACATAGATTTTTATTTATTCATTTTGCAAACTTTCTCTCATCCTTGAAAGTCCAGCACCAGTGCTGTCTCTTGCGAAGGAAGTCTCCCTTAACTAGCTTCCATAGAGAGATCATCTTAGTATTTGTATTGATTTTCTGTTACTTAGAAATGTCACCTTATTCATCCTTGAGGATAAGCTCCTTGAAAATTGATACAAACTGCTTTGCTTGTGGTGTTTCCTCTTATCTCCTGTGAGACCAGCCTGAGGGTAGTGATTGTAGGTTATGTTGGCAATTGTTGGAGACCAGTGTTGGTCTTTGGTGCTTTCTAGATCCTGGAAATACTCTTGCCCTGAGGTGAGCCTATTAGCAGATGCATGCTTGTGGGATCTCTCATTCACTCT